AAACAACCCTCAAGAAGTACTTGCAGGCAGCATGATTCAAGATAACCCTCTAAAACTTCACGTCTCATCCCGTGTTGCACTTTCTGCTTAACATGGGATTTTCCAGTGACCACAATGCCCAGAAAAGAGTCTCTCTTCTTGATCCTCCTTTATAAAAGTAGATACATTCATTGGTTAAACAGACTAACTTTACTCTTAGAGGCTTCCAGAAAAATGTATTAAGAGGGAGGAACAACAGCCAATGTAGCAGAAGACAAAACAGTCTTAAAAATAAAGAAGATAACAGTGATCTTCAGGTAATTCAGGAAAATGCGTCGAGGGAATCCATCTATTAAACACCTAAAGCAAGGTTGTATCCCAGCATTAATACAAGGGGCTGGGCTGGGTCTTGGAGGTCTCATTTCAAGATGTTTCCTAACAGGCTAGGGAGAGCAGGAGTGGATTTGCATGAGAAATTCCACAGAAGAGCATAAAAATCTTTCTAGGATGAAGGGTGGTGCTATTTTTTTGTTTGTTTAATGAGAAATTAAAAACACACACACTGGGAAACAAAGTTAAGTTAAATCTAGCCCAGCTTTAGACATTTTAACAATTCACTCTGCCGTCTGTAGAACACAGCAATATAAATATTGCTATCTCTGTTAAAATGAATTATTGACAATTTTAATACATGTTGCACAGTACATATTAATATAGAAAAATACATGTTATCAGCAGTGCAATGTTGACCATGTACTAATCCATTCCACCTGCTCAAATATTAGTGCAAATAATTATATATTTGTAATGCATCATTGCTGTCTAGTTCGAATCTCTGCCTCCAGAATAAATGTCTCTTCTCTGAAGTTGTTTGCTATTATGAGTAAAATGTTATATATTCATACTCAAATTGACTTTGGGTGGATAAGTAAAATGAGCAACCTTCAAAAATCCACTTGTCTGAGACTTAGCAAGTCATTTTAATGAATTGTTTACAGTAAAGTGAATGTTATAAAAATGTTTCAAGCACAACCTCGTGTTAGCTGGTTTCTCTACCAACACTCAAATACCACACGTCAGAACAGTTTCAAATGACCATCTTCAACCGGCAACATCAACTGAGATGAACCTTAACCATGTCTTTCAGCATGAGCTATTTACCCTGATACCATGCAGTTTATCTACCTATGAATTGATTCTGGGGATATCGTCTCTCCACAGTCTCACCTTCCTTTTCAAGCAAAGAGGTGGTCTTGATGAGGCCGGACACTTTGTAGAACAACAGCTCCTGTCCCCAATGGACGCATCATCAAAATGGGAAAAGAAGATGTACAACCACGATGCTGCAAGGGCTCGTTTGTGCCAGGATAAACCCTTGGCTAGAAGTGAAGTTGGGATAGCTCTGAGAAGCACAAGGGCAGCCCTAAGAACAGATGAGGTGGGGTTAAGATGAGTAAGTTACAAGGGAAGACTATGGTGCAAACAGCCAGTCGACAAAGAGATGGGGAGCAGAAACAGCCCCAAAAAACTTACAGAGCCCCACTGTGGAGGGGAGCGGACACACACACACACACAAAAAAGGACCAACATCTCTTAGTCCATTCTCTCCTCTATCCTTGCTAAATCCAGGTTTGAGAACAACAAAACACAGCGCGAGGAAGCTTTCAGCAACAGCCGCTGCTGTGATGCCTGTCTCCCAGAATGGCACTTGTTTCTTCACACTCTGGCTCCAGCAGCCTCAGGGACAATCGCAGGTTTCAGTGAAAGAAAAGAGAGAAGCTTTAACACCTCAAGAAGAAAAGTTTTAAAATACCAGCTTTCAAGGGCTATTGTGTATTAGAAGGTGAGCTGAACAAGCCAGCACTTAGAGCTGTGGGTCTCATGAGATGGTCACACATGCTCTAAAATTACATTACTGGGGCAGAACAATTCTGACCCTCCAAGGATGACAAACTGTAGCTCACAGCTTCTGGACACTTCTGGGCAGCCTTGCAGGACAAGCAAAGGTCTGTTCTGTGGCACAAAGGTGACACAAAAGCCTCTCTGCTGAGGCTACACAACCGGGGGAAGGCAAGAGCAGGTGGAGAACAGGCATGCTGACCTCTCACAGCAGGGGCGAGCTGCTCGGCTGGGACCAGGCTTTAGCGTGGCAAGGGTAGGAACTGCCACAGCCTGCGGCTTGGTCAACGCTGCAGCCTCAGCTCCAAGGTCTCCTCACTTCACAGAGGGGAAGTAGCAGTGCAGACGAGCAGGATTTGGGATCGCTATAAGGAAGTCCCCAAACTTATTTTCATCCCGTAACAGGATGAACTTAAATTACAAATAAAATTCTAAGATTCCTTGAGCCTCAAGTATGAAAACAATTCGTTTTGGTTTGTTAAATGGTTCTCAAAGATACTATTCAGAGACGGCTCAAGGTCACATTTCAAGTTAGTTTCCTGGCACATTACCGAATGGACACTGAAGCTGACATGCCTGACACTTTTCCCCCCATGGCTGGTCCCTTCCACACAGTTTCAATACACTGTACAGCCAGGTCAGGGGAGAGTATGTAGCAACAGAGACCTGCAGAGATGACAGAATTATGGGGAAGGTAGAGGAATAAAAGGGAAGGGAGATAAACTCCTTCTCCTACCAGGTTACATGTGGATGAAGAAACACTAGGTAACAGTTAAAGGTCTCCTAGAAGCCATACTGCAAAGTTAAATGATTCTCTTTCTCTTTCTCTAGTAGTGTGGTAACAGAGAGGAAGGGACAGTTCAATCCCGAGATCTGGAAAGGAAAACAGGGCATAAGGACATAAAGCTAATAGAATAAAAGTAGAAACCAAGGCTTCCACATACACTGAGGGCTGTATTGACACAGAGTAAGCAGTGCCCCATATGAGAAAAAGACGACAGGCAAACACAGCTGCTTCCCCACTCCAAGATAAGCAGAAGACATGGTACAGAAATCTCCTACCACCAAAAGAAATTTGAATGGAGGAGAGAGAAAAAAAAAAAAAGGAAAAAAAAAAGATAAGAAAGCAGTGAACATAGGGCAGGAGATCTGGTTCCCTCCACTCCTTAAAACAGGTGTAGAAACACCGGTGAAGAGAAAACAAACAACGTGCCTTGATGTCCAGAGAGAAAATACTCCAGTGCAGACAGCAAAATAAATTTACCTCCACTTTCAACCAGCACAGAGCTGCTGCTGGTGGAAGTAATGCCTGGAAGCCAGTATCCAGCAGAACACGAGGAGAGGAAAGGTGCTCCTACCTTTCAGTTGTCCTTTCGGTGCTGACGGCTGGCTTATCCTCCCCACTGCTCCTGCGACAAGAAGTGCAAAGGAGGAGAGGTGCCGCTGGCATCTAAAATTAGACAAGCAATTATTTAAATATCTGCTTCCTTCATATAGGAAGTCATCACCTCAGCCTGGTTTCCCCATGCACGACTGGTTCAACTCAAGTGCCGATCCAAATTAAGACAGCTATTGCCATGAAAACTCAATGCAAAGAGCACCCCTCTGTTTTGGAATTTATCATGACATCTAAAACTGAGTACATTAGATTTACTGTGATGCACCTATTGGATTGAGAAACCTGGAACTACGGGCTTCTGAGGAACAGGTGAACATGTACCCAACTCATGAAGGAACCCAACTGGCCTCAACCTCTTCAGGGGCAGAGATGAAGCATTTTTGCCAGATAGTTGCAACATTTCCTACAGGAATGAAGCAATCTGGTCAGACAACACTCCATCACAACACCCCAGCACCAGCTCTGCTTTGTAGGATTCCTCCTCAGACAACTGAAATTGTGAGTTATTTGTGGCAGTTAAAGGTAAAGTGACTTTGTGAAACTTAAGAGGAAAAACCAAACCAAAACCAAAACCCAACCCAAGTTCTCTTAGCAGTTATGAGATAAACCAACCTGCTGCCTGTCAATGCTACGCCATTCTCAAACCAAGCAGTCACTTACTATTATCCGGATCGCTGTAGTCTTCAAAGGAAAAAAATAAGCTCGGCTCTGGTAAATTCTCCTTCGCCTGCCATCGGACTGCATATTGCTGATGCATTTCTGCTCCTCACAGCGGAACTAAGCAGTGCCCACCTCCACAGCATCACTACCTGTCCTTCACAGATGTACACTCCCATACGGACAGCCTCTTCCTCGCGAATCCAACTGTATCAAGACGAACGAACAGCTCCACAGCCAAGTATTTTCACCAGTCCCCCTCCTCTGCAGGTTCATTTCAGGGTGGGATTGAGCTATGGAGATTTTAATTCCAATCCTGCTTGTTCTCCCAGGTTGATGTGTATGTCAGGTTGCTATTAATCACATTTTAGCCCCCTCCTTCCACACGCTACGCTACTTCACTTAAAACTGCTTGTTCTCCATACCCTTTTAGTTCAGGTCTTCTTCACTTCTTACCTTCTGTTCCTAAATATCTAGATCTTATTTTTCCAAGCACTTCCAGTTCCCAAATTTTTATATTTTTATTTGTGTTGGGAAGTATTCTTAGAGAACACCAACTCCTTCCTGCCCTCTGTGCATACACAAACAGAATACAATACCAAATCATGTTAATAAATTATAGGACTTGTAAAAACACAGCTTATTTTCCAGCCTACAAGAGTTTACTGCAAAGCCATTTTCACCAGCTGTAGACAACATAATTACACACACATACACACACCTCCTCTCAGGCATTCATGTGGTTGCCAGCCTGTTAAATGCCTGCATTCTAGGAGCAAACATTAGAAAGGCAATATTTTAACTCCTCACGTGAACATTAAAAGGCATATTCGTATTTTGGATAGTACTTTATGGTATTCAGAAGCCACTGGAAATATTTTCCCAAATTACACGCTATAAGAGTGCTAAACTTAAAAATGTGTGAAAATTATAGTTCCCTGCCCAATCCCAATCCAACTTGTGACAATGTAGTCATCTTCTCTAGAAATTGAAACTCTTTTGTGTGCATGGGGAGGTTTTTTTTAAAGGAAGGGGAAAGGGAAAGCTCACACCAGTGATAAATTTGGTCAGTAAAATTACTTTTATTCTTTTTTTTTTTTTTTCTTTTGAAGTAGAAGGGCTTATACAATTGAGTAGAAAGATATTTGAAGAACATGGAAATGAAATGAAAAAAGTGTCTGGAGGGAATTATTTTTATTGAGGAAGAGTTTACATATCTAAGTTTAAGTTTTCACCTACTTCTTGCTGCCTCCTGTTAACAGGCATAATGAAAATATTGCACTGCGCATATGCATGGAAAACACAGCTAATAAAGCAAGAAATATGGTAAATACATTTCATACAACCTTAAAATAATTCAAACAATCATACAACAAGTTCTGAAGCACTTCTGTGATCTGCAATCTTAAGATGACTTTCACTGTTCTGAAGTGTTTACAAATTGACACCTTTTTTTGTAGAAAGATTTTGTATTGGTTAATAAAACCACAGCCTTAAAATTGTTGGCTTTCAGTTACAGAGGTAACAGAGAGGTATAATCTGAATTCACATCAGAGCTTTTGAAAAAAAATGGCAGCAGTACAAGCACGTGCCTCCTCCAGCGTCCAAAACTCTGTGGCTTTGCCATGGCCAAGGAATAGAGCTACACAGCTCCAAGCAGCCAGTCTCCCCCAATACTTTGACACAGTCTGGCATCTCTTCTCTTGTTTACTGATGTAATGCTCTGCTAAATATAAAATGAAGCAGGAGAACCTCAACTGACCAAGAGAAGTTCCACACAAGTCTGTCAACATTGACTACACCTGGGAATTCATTAACAAAAGAGGAAAATAATTCTATTTGGCCAACCCATAAAGTAAATGTATAGAAATGCTGCTCTGAAGATGGGAGAGAAAGAAGCTTCCAGAACATACGCTGAGCCCACAGCAGAAATAAAGTGTTACAGATGATTTGTTCAGGGATGATGTAAGTCAGACTGAAGACACAAACCACAGCAGTTCCAACCTGTTTTCCACAAGAGCTCACTCTGAACAAACAGGTCTATTTACAACAGTTTTCAGCTGCTTGTGGAAAAGCTACCCCAGATGTTCCAAACATTGTGTTGCTTCAATTCACTATATGCACACTACGGGTCCACCTCAGAAACACCTTGAATAAATCCTGGAGCGTAACGGACACAAGAGTAGCCTGTCTCCAATATTAAAGTTATGGTCAGTGAAGAGAAGCTTTTGCACACTTCAACATTTTATGCTGCTCAGCCACTGAGGATCAATCATCTTCAGCACAGGAATTTTCAACTCTAGGTTACTGCTAGAGCCCCTGTCCATTCCTCCCACGTATGAAAAACTGGGGTACATTTTATCCCTTCACTGCATTACAATTTGAATTTATTTACATACAAAACAAGAGACAGAACAAAATTCTTTTATATTAACCCAACAATGGGCACCTTCACCTCGTAATAAGAACGCCTTAGGCAAGGCAGCTGCATTTACTTTAGGAGCATATATAAAATTCAGTGTGCCAGTATCAAACAGAAACAACAACGCTAGACCATACAATGCCAATGTGTTCCGGTGGGCCCTTGACTATTAGGTACAAAAAAAAACAAACCCAAACCAAAGCCAGAGAACCAAAAAAAAAACCCCAAAACTTTTCACCACTTTAGTTCCGTTTAGAATGCTACACAATGAATAAATTACATCTTTCTGGGATAGTGTTGCCTTTACTCCTACATCTCAAAGAAATTCCAAGCTAATTAATTAGAGCAAGAAATTACATTGAGCAGGATAACGTTTTAAATGAAAGAAATGACTTAGAAACACCAATCAAAGATAATTTGATTATGATTAGCTGTGCTGAAGTCTAAGTCATTAAAATTGATGAAGAATGTTTTTACACTGGTCTAGTCTATGTAATCCATTACCTACGCTATGCTCTGTAGTTCAAGTCTAACAAATGGTATCTGATAATTCAATATTGAAGACTAAAATACTTTCAATGCACCACTTGCTTTCCTACACCAACATGTTTCCAACAAAAAAAAAAATCAGTAGCAAGTGTATTTTGCAAAATTCTTCACTGGGAGAACTTTAGCTTACATGAAATTTCATTCAGATTTTTACCTGCTCGCCTTCTACATAGTCACGTTTAAATATGGCTGCTGCTGCTTTATTCTGAACAGTCATCATCCCACAAAAGTTACAACCATGGTTTGGTAAGAAATCGTTCCCTGTGCTTTCTAACAACTGAGGCCTGCCCAAAGGTACATCATTTCTTTCCGTGCTCTCAGCTGAAGTGACGAGCAAGACGAGCAGACCTATAATCAACACGCAGCTGAACAAAGGAGTGAAGGATGTTCTTGTCCAGATTAGCAAGTTGTTCTCCTGAGCAAACTTGCTTTAAATTATCCGGGGCTACAACCAGAAGATTGCAAAGTGCATGCAAGGTATCAAAGAGTTGTAACACCAGTGCAATCTGTCATTAAGAGAAAAGAAAGAAAAAACACAGATATTAAGAGTTAGAGTTGCTTCAAGTCTTATAACACAATGTCCTTCTACACTTTCAAAATACTTCCTCCTGACAGAGGACTCACATCCATCAATCTCTCCTTGTGTGCATAAATATACATATACGTGCCCATATACATCTGTAGGGAGATACGCACACACACAAAGCCATACATAGAACAGACAGTAATGAAAACTCAATACTACTCCAATGTACACACATAGCCTGCAAGCAATAAAAAGCTATGAAACTGCTCTTCAGGACATGATAAAGAACTGCTGGTATATAAAACAGTGATACTCAAACAGAAACAAACTATTTTTACAAAGAAAAAAAATGTCTGATTAAAAATAAGAGTCCTGCTACTAATTTTGACATGGTTGTACATCACCAACCTGTACATGCTTACCTTGAAGTCTTTGGCACACTTCCTATATTCAGCCACGTCACAAATAGCTAACATGCCTCCCATGCAACTGTAGGAGTATTGCTGCAGGTGTTCATAGATAAGCCGATGAAAACGAACTCCAAGCTCCATCAAAACTGTGTCGACATTTTTACCATCCATAGAATTTCTGACCTTCTCCACTTGCTTTCTAACATAGCCACAGACTTTAACACAAGCCTAAACAGAAAAGAAGAAAAAAAGAATTAGGTAACTTACTTCCTAGAAATCTGTTCTTCTCAAAGCAGCTTCCACATCATAAGCTGAACATCAGTCACTAAGTCTTTAAAGGTCCCACAACACACCGCTGAAATGAGTAATTTTCCAATGAATAACTTTCCAACAGCTTTTTATTTGCCACAAAGATGCAAAAATCCAAGTAGAAAGCTGGATGCAACACAATATTCAATTAAGTTATAGTTCGTATCAGTTCAGAATAGAACAGTTTGATTTGGGCTTTTAATTCAAACAGTGATCAACCAAGGGGTGGGGAGGGAAGGAAGAGAGATTAAAAACCTCTTGTCAGCTGCAATTATAAACCCAAATTAACAGCCACGCAGGCATCTTCACCTTCCCACATAGTACCAGACTCTACATCCTACTGCTCCACTTCTCCCATTCCCACCTGCCTGCAGGCATTCAGGCAATGCTCTTGCTTCTTCCCATTGACTGTAATTTGTTCTTTACTCCCCTCTGCATCGTTCCCTAACAAGAGCCTAATGTAACCCAGCACTACAGCTTCTCAGCAGCCCGTAGGCTGAGATTCAGACAGATGAGATTCAGACAGATTTGGTGGCAGAGACAACATTCTGCAGCAAAGAATGTTCATCCCACACCCGTGATGCTTTTTCATGTTCCTGCCATTCTAAGGGGAAAAAGCACCCAGCAACTACAGAGTACCCGTTAACTGATTTTCTGAAACTGATAGCTTAAAGCTAATTACCAGCTAAAAACCTTGTTCCAAATCTGGGCCTCTTGGGAGGGGAAAGAATGTGACAGTTCGTCCAGCACCTACTGATTCGTGTCTGACTCTAGATACAAAACTGCCAATGTTCCTTTTCAGCTTGAGAAAGCAGTCCACAACAGAGTCTGGAGTTGCTTAGTGCAAAATGGAACAGGTAAGTAATCAAATGCACGTGTTTTCTAATGCCTGCTTGGTAAGGAACATCTCGTACCTGACAATACTCATTTGAAGCTATACTGATGAGCTGGGACTTGGTTTACTTACATTAGTATATTGAATCAAAACATTGTTTTCATCTTCTGGTTTAAAATCTGTCTTCTTTTGCTCTGCAGCCAAGATGTGCTTCATCTGTCCAATCATACAATTCAGTGTCCTTTAAAGTTACAAATACAGATCGGGTTTTGAAGAGAACATTTTAATTTCCTTGATTTTTATATTTACAGATACTAATATGATTCTTCTATAGAAAAGTAAGTAAGCAGTATAAAGTAATAAGGAAAAACCCTTGCTACCTAGCATTTGATTTGAGTAATCTACAGAAGACACACTGAAAGCAAACATTTAGTCTAAGAAGCAGCGGTGCTAGGACACGTCAAAGGAAATAATTCATTTAACAGACATGCACACACACATACGCACTCTTCTGAAGCTGCAGTGCAATTCTATAGACAAGATATGCTTGATTTTATGTAAGCAGTTAAGAGAAAGGAGAAGCAGCCAAAAAAACCCCAACAACCCTAAGCTCTTAACTCATTCCTCCAAGTTCAGTGTCCTGCAGCACAGCACACAGCGTGCTGGCCAGCTGGTGTTAAAGGGGGCACGTTAATTGTAAGGTAATCCATTCGAATCCAGCTCTTCAGAGAAACTGGATAGCATTCTTCAATGCAGAAGGAATCAGAAAGCTGAAGGAAGCATTCCAAAGAGTTTAGCAGAATCAGATCACATTGCATGTTACTCAGAAACAAGGATCAGAAAACATGGAAAACGAAGGAGGGGGCAGGGGGCAAAACTTTTCCTTTGCCAGAGCTTGGTATTTCTCTTGTTCTCAGAAATCTAATAGAGTCTTACAGTCTCATGTATTTCTCCCTTACAGGATTTATCATTTCAGAACATTACCTAAGGTCAAGGCCCTGGTTTACTTTAAGTCCAAAGCAAAGGTCAAACAGCAAAGCAGCCGAGAGAGGCTGCATACCCCCCCAGTGCCTACCTTTGCCAGAAACCTCCCTCTGTCTCTGGTTTTTTTTTTTCTCCTCCCCTCTTCTTCACTCCCCCTCACTTCTCCAACCTCCCCAAGGAAAACAGTCAAGGCCATTACAGGCCTTGAAGGATTCAAGCTGGGGTGAAAGGGAGAAGAATATATGTATCCAAAGAGGGAATAAAATCCTTCTTTTCTATGCATAGAGCTCAGACTTGAATTTCAGGTGTACTGCATTCAGCAATCCACATACCAATAGAAATTTAAAGAAATGATATCTTGCATTCTCCTCCATTTCCACTTTCAATAAATACTCCCAGAAGGCTGTTTACACAGAACAGATACTGAAAGAAAACCAGTTGAACTCATTTTGTTCGGCTAATAAATCACTTTTAGAGAGGCAGACAATTGCTATGAACGGCATTCAGGAAGCTGCCATTGGACTTTTTCAGAATGGATAATGTTAAAACCATCAACATTTAGAAATTTGCTTTTATTTTTTAACTCGATCATTCCTTTAAGCAAGACAATCAATTCTCAACAGCAACAGTAGCTCCGCAAAGCAGCATGTAAGCAGGCACACAAACACATCCTCCATGTAACATTCATCTCAAAACTAATCTCTCTTTTGTATGTGGTGAAGCGTAAATTTTTTTGAAGTCTCCATCCACAAACATTTGAATGTAGTTTTTGAACAGGGACTTGTTCTCTTAAGTCTTATTATCGCTTTTAAGAGATTAATTATTTTACACAAACAGTTACAAATTATTCTAATGCTGATGATTGACCTGTATCAGTCTAGATCTAAGCTTATGGCCTCAAAGTTCAAGTGTTCCAAACTTTGTGTTTAAATCTCTAACGTCACTTCCAGCAGGAGCAGCTAAAATCTCAATTGCCACTTACACGTCCCCTATCTCCACCTTTCTTTTTGTGCCTACAAAACGCGGGTGCAAACAGAATATCCAATCTCTTCTTCATCCCTCTGCAGAAAATACCCAGCAGGACACAAAGGCAATGCCTGTTTTTCCTATACAGTGCCGTTCTCATCCCTCTCCCCTATAGAATCATACGGGGTGATCCTTACAAAAACCTCACTAATAGTTTCCAGAGTAGCCTTCATTACCCACAGGATGGCTTATTTCTGTTACTGCAGAGAGAAAACAGGCACAGAAAGCTTACACACCAAGTTCTAGGTTGTCTAATGCTATGTTGAAAGATGGGAACACCAAACGCTTCCCAGACCGAAGTAGGCCATCACACAACAGCTCCATTTCCTAAAATTACGCGTGTTAGTTACTTTCCTCTGCTGCAAAACAGCTACAATTTTAATTTATCATTTTTATAGCTATCCCCTCATTTTTATTTGGAGAAATAGAAATAAAAAAAAGATTAAATGAGTCACCCACAACCTCAAAGCAAGCCCATGTCAGAATCAAAATTATTCCAGGTCTACAGACTTCTATGACTAGGTCTAATCCATAGCACTGCACAGATTCAAGCAAATCATCTAACCTATTTTTGTCAAATTTTGCTCCTAATGAAAATCCTGCAAGTCTTTAACCTATTTCAATCATCATTTCTCCCTCCTTTAAAGTAGGGAGAAAAAGTAGTTTGAGACAATAAGGT